AGAGGACACAACATTAGAAACGTTCAACTAGATAGACTAGCAGAATCGGCTACTAGAGTAAACGAGGAGCTAAGCAACTTCCACCTTTTTAATATTCCCTGTATCGACAGATACATCGAATCCTTAACAGATAGTATACAGGGTGTCCTTTAAAATGTGTCCCAAAATTCTCAGGCAGATTCCTTAACCAAAAAATGGAAAAAAAGTTCCTATAGACCTATGTCCTAAAGTGCCCCCTAAGCGAGCAACAGCCTCTCGAAATCATTTTTTTTATTTTGATTTTTTGAATTTTCTTAAAAATGGAAACAAATAAAAGAACCAAATTTTGGCTGTTAAATATGATCAATAATAGTGACCTTTTGACACCTTCAAAAAGAAATTATTTCGTCAGGGGTGTACTTGGGAATTTTTTGAAAAATTTGATTATTCATAACTTTTTTGTGTTTTTGGTAATGACTTATCCATATTTTTTTTTACATTCTACATTGAAAACTACGTCAAAAAGGAATACTTGTTTGATCTCGATTGGAGCAGCCGTTTCCGAGAAAACATCATCCAAAGATATTCGTCCACTTTAGCTTAATTTTCAATTTTCCTAAATTACCTCGGTGAATCTCGTAAATAAAAATAACTTTTTTAGCTCTCTCTAAATAATTGTAGTTCAAATGTCGTGGTGGGACTATTTTTATTTAATAATAAGAAACGGTTTAAAAAAATATTTATTCTAAAAAAACAAATCAAAAAAAATTAAAGCAGATGCTCAATGTGGCGACCATTGGTTTCCACACACAAGCGCAACCGTCGCATCATAGACTGTCTTACACGAAAAAATACTTCAGGATTATTCCTAAGAACTTCGCAATGATGAAAAACTTGTTCTTCCAATTCTTCAACTGTTTCAACAGGACTGGAATAAACCAATGATTTTAAATAACCCCAAACAAAAAAATCCATTGGATTTAGATCTGGTGAACGAGGTGGCCAGTTAACAGGACAACCTCTGCCAATTACTCTACCCTCAAATCTTTCGTTAAGGTGCTGTCTAGCTTCAAGGCTGTAATGTGGTGGAGCTCCATCATGCATAAACCACATGTTATGTCTGATTTGAATCGGAATATTATCAAGAAGCTCATGTAAGTTATTTTCCAAAAAAAGCCTGTATGCTGCTCCATTTAACCTATTCGGCAAAACAAATGGTCCAATAAGGTAATTATCAATAACTCCAGCCCAGACGTTTATTGAAAATTTATCCTGGTGGTGACGTTCAACAACCGCGTGAGGGTTATCTTCAGCCCATTCATGCATATTTCGAAAATGTATTATACCATCTCTAGTGAAACCAGCTTCATCGGTAAATAGCACTTTATTAAGAAACATTGCATCTTGATTACATCTTCCAAGAAACCATTCAGAAAAGATAACTCGCGGCTCATAATCAGTAGCTTTAAGTGCCTGAACTTTTTGAATGTGGTAAGGGTACAATTGTTGTTCACGCAAAACTTTCCATACCGTGTTACGTCCGACTCCCACTTCTGAAATTAAATGAGAGAATCTGTGTAGTGAATAGTTAAGAAAGAGAATCCATTGATTTGGGAAATCAGATTTTTTCTGCATAACGCAACTCTTTTCGATACGAAAAGTCGTGAAATGTAAGAGAAGCAATAACAAGTAAAAAAACTAGTTTTATACGATAAGGTACGGGGTAGCTAAAATAATAAATAAGTAATTACTTACCATTTGCTATTTTTCTGGTACTTGTCGATGGGGTTTCAGCTACCCTATCCAAAATTGCTTCTTCCAAAGCAGGAGTTCTCACATAATTTTGTCTTCCACTGTTACTAGAGTTTTTCTTAAATGTACCAGTTTCCCGAAGTCTATCGTCAATTCTAGAAAACGTCTTAGCGCATGGAAGATGCCTATTTGGAAAGCGCCCCTGATAAAGTCTGCGAGCTTCATTGGCATTTCCAGAAGCGAGTCCAAAACATAAGTGCATGTCCGTCATTTCGCCGAATGTGTAATCATTATTGTAGTTATTGTGAGCCATTTTAAACAAAATAATAACAATACAACGAATCGCACCAGAACACTTTTAGAAATAATGTTTAAGTGAAGAAACATTTTTATCAGTGAGCGAAAAAAATTATCCATGAAACACAAAAACGCCAAAAAAATACATATTTTTACTTTTTTATTCTAAACAGCTAAATACAAACCTTATGGTCTTCATAATAAATAAATGGGAACTAAATTTTTAAATTTTATTTTGAGAGCTAAAAATAGTATAGGGTGATTGATTAGTGTGAGGAAGCTCTGTAGATCTGTTATAATAAAAGTAGGCAGCTTTAAGCTTCACATTTTAAAATTAGTTACGATGTGACAGGGTGTTTCATAAGGCCGTGCCAAATCAAAGTTATGTTTTTTAAATGGAACACCCTGTATATTTTTATATTTTTAGAATCTGCTCGATAATCTGATTTTAATGATACATCACACTTGTTATCTAATATGAATAGTAAAGGATCTACAGCTACTCAAAAATCACATTTTTTCAAATTCAGGTGGCTGTTGTAGCCAAACAGTTGGAAATCGAGGAAAACGGCTTACAGTCCCTATCCTAACTTTTTAAGGTCTATTCAGTGACATAAAATACATATTATTTGATACAGGGTGATCAAAAATCCAAAATCACATCCGATTTTTGATCACCCTGTATCAACTAATATTTTTTGTCACTGAATAGACCTTCAAAAGTAAGGATAGGGACATGTAAGCCGTGTTCCTCGATTTCCAACTTTTTGGCTACAACAGCCAAAATTGAAAATTAACCTAAACTGCACGAATATCTTTGGATGATGTTTTCTCGGAAACGGCTGCTCCAATCGAGATCAAACAAGTATTCCTTTTTGACGTAGTTTTCAATGTAGAATGTAAAAAAAAATATGGATAAGTCATTACCAAAAACACAAAAAAGTTATGAATAATCAAAATTTTCAAAAAATTCCCAAGTACACCCCTGACGAAACAATTTCTTTTTGAAGGTGTCAAAAGGTCACTATTATTGATCATATTTAACAGCCAAAATTTGGTTCTTTTATTTGTTTCCATTTTTAAGAAAATTCAAAAAATCAAAATAAAAAAAATGATTTCGAGAGGCTGTTGCTCGCTTAGGGGGCACTTTAGGACATAGGTCTATAGGAACTTTTTTTCCATTTTTTGGTTAAGGAATCTGCCTGAGAATTTTGGGACACATTTTAAAGGACACCCTGTATAATGAAACGCAGTTGCAGAGAGTCCAAAGGCGAAAATAAACTCACGCCCTAGTGGAACAATCTAAATGACATAAAGAGCAAAGTAGTCCGATTAAGAAAAAGCTACTAAAAAAGCAAAAGCAGAAGAAGCCTAGACTATCAAGCAGACAAAGATGCGCATCTTAGATCCAAATGGGCATATAAAAATGAAATCGGAACTGCTAAAGAAAACTCGTAAAAAAACTTCCTCGATGAACAGCTTTCTCGAAATCCATGTGGCACAGTCTATAAGCTCGCCGCAAACAAGGTTAAAACCCAGAAAGTTATGAGCAGTGTCGTCAAGGGGGACGGTTCTATAACCGTTACACATGAGAAAACACTAGCAGAAATACTAAGCAAACTGATGCCGGACGACGACTCTAATATGGACAATGATTTGCACGAGAAATACGAGATCAAGCTTAAGTACATGGCGATGAAAACCTCGAGATGATTATTACTGAAGACATGGTAGACACTGCGGTTACAAGCATAATTCCGTACAAAGCCCCAGGGCAGCGACGGGGTTCATGGTAAGATCATCCTACTTGCATATCCATACATCAAAAGACAAATAACACGGCTTTACCAAGCATGCTTTAGACTAAGATATTTTCCTACAATGGAAGGAAGATAAACTTGTTACAATCCATAAGAGTCCTGATAAAGATCCAGCAGATCCAAAATCACTAAGGCCGAGAACCCTACGCCCAGAATTAGGTAAAATCCTTTTAAATCAGCTACACCAAGAAAAGCCCAACAACCAACTCTTTAGCGAGGCACAATACGGATTCAGAAAGGGGATATCGACGGTAATGGCTCTCGCAGAAATAACAAATAGTATACGCAACAGCCCAAATCACTCTATCCCTCTTCGTAGACATGTCAGGAGCTTCCGACAACTTATGGTGGCCAATTCTTATCACGGAACTAAACCAAAAGGGCATATCAAGCACGCTATTATGCATGATCAAAAGCTACCTCCTAAATAGAAATATATAAACACACTACTGTGAACAAGTCATCCACCAAAGAATGCCCTCAAGGATCTGTATTGGGACCAACCGCTCTGGAACGTGGTTATGGATTCGCTTCTTACTACCCACTGGCCGGCAAACGTAAACGTCGCAGCATACGCTGACGACATCACCTTCACGATAACAGGTACAAGTAGACGAGAACTGGAGAACGTGGCAAGTGAATGTATGACTACATTATCACAATGGCTGACAAGAAACAAATTAACAATATCTAAAGCAAAAACTAAATACATGGTATTTTCTAACCTATCACTTGCAAGAAACCCAGTAATCAGATACAACGATAAGCCAATTCTAGGAGTCCAATCCATCAAATGCCTGGGTGTGATACTGGACCATAAACTACTAAATGATAAAATAAAATAAAATTAAATTAAAAATGTATAAATAAAAACAATTGAAAGATCATAATCAGAAATGATTACAAGAAGAAGAAATAATTTTTGAAACTTTAGCTGAATAAGAATAGGTTAAGTGTAATCCTTTAGTTATTAGCTGGAACTTTATCTTAAGGTGAAAAGATCGACCCTAGTGGTCTAGTGGTATATTTAGAACATATTTACGTTTTTCTATGAAACGCCCTGTATACTATATGTAGCGTAGTTATTTCTCGTCAACAAATTATTAACAAGTTTTATAATAATATTATTTTTGATCTGTTTTCTATTTTCAGGAAAATATACAAGATTATTTTGGCGAATATGGAGTCTTACGTTTGCAAAAATGGGCGAGGACTGGGTACTCTTAGCAATTTTAGGAATTTTTGTTGCAATTATAAGCTATACCATAGACAAAGGAATTTTAATGTGTGGTAATTGTAAGTAGCATAATCATTCTTACATAAAATTTTGATTTATCTCTATTTTTAATGTATTTCTTATTGAAATTCAAAAAGCGTAAATAATTGGTAAATATACAGAATAATAAAGAAATAACATAACATTAAATTACGAGAAATATTTGATGATAACTGAAAATCGTTAGAAAATATTTGTGGATTTATTAATCCTTATTCAGCTAGATAGAATAATATAAAATAATACCATAACGAAAGCAAGAGAAGTGCAAGAACTTATTGTAAAGTTAGTTATAGACCTCAAGAGGAACATGTTACCCCATTGCAACTAAAGTAATGCTCCTTAGTTCATAATGGGACCAATCCTACCGAATAAAACTCGCGGTATATTTGAATGCTGGAATTATAGAAATTCAGGAGCCACATGTGAAAAACTAATGCAAAAGTCGAGTGTTTCGTAAAGCGAAAACTTTATTATAATTATTATATTCAAAAAAAATCAGACATTAAAACTCAATTGACAATCATTTATGTAAAAGATGTTACGTATGTATTCCCACCTTGCAATTTTAAACATTCTAAATATTGACGCTTAAGTTACAGAAATGATTATTTATTTAGATTAAAGGATTTTGGTGGCACGATTATTCTACCCCTACGAGTTTTTATTACTTTTTCTACAATATAATTTTTATCATTGGTACTAGTCGTAAGATCAATATCTTTTATTATTATCTTTATTTGCAGCTACATAAAATAAATACATAATACAATATGGAAAAAATATATCATACATACACTAACTGCAAAATAGAGCCGAAAACAGTAAAACTGATACAAAGTGTCGGACCTAGTAAAAAAAAACAAATATAAACAAATGAGTAAAAAAATTATGAAATATAAAACGCTATTTAAATTAGTTTTAGAAAGAAAAATATGTAATGTTAGGTTCTCAAATTATATAAAATCCGTTTATATTGTTTTGTGAAACGGTCGATTACAAATTGTTTAATAGTTTGGGGAATACCATTGTATAGCTTGTAAATATTATAAGAAAAAAACCTTTGAAACATACTGCTACGATGAGTTGGTGAAGATATATAACCACGAGAATGAACGTTAATATTATGAACATGCGACCTGTTAACAATTTTGTTAAACATGTATGGTGGAGACTTGAACATCATAATTTTATGAAATAAAGTTGCCATATGTAATTTCCGTTTAGAGGACATATTTAACCATTTAGCATCATCCAGTTTATGAGTTACTCTTTCAAATTTTCTGATACCATAAATGAAACGATTTTTGTACTCTTTGAATCCGATTAAAATCAATATTATCCATACAAGGAGCATATACGCTGTCACAATAATTAAAATGGCTCAGTATAAGCGTATCATAAAGAAGGATTTTAACTAAAATATTTAGACTGTGTCTATGTGGAAATAACATCTTTAAGTTTGCATAGGATTTTTGAATGCACTTTGTAACATGCTGTTTAAATCTAAGCTCAGTATCTAGTTCTATACCTAAGTTTTTAACAACTTTAGCAAACGGCAAAATTGTATCTTCTATTTTTATTTGCAGCTCATTTTCCACTTTACTTTTATGTTTGCCAAATACTATAGGATCAGTCTTAAGTTTTAAGTAAAAAATTCTTTATACGGGTCTCAATAACTATCCGGAATTTGTATTAAGTGAACCAACCTAATAATATATTTGGAAAAATACCTACAAAATCAAGATATAATATTCTGACAAGCATTCCAACAAGAAATTATGTCTTTCCATTACCCCAAGACAATTTATTTTTTATTAACAGAACATTACGTAGGTTCGATAAAGCTGAAACTAGCAGCCAGAATTAGCAGCCTTTTTGAGAAAATGCATACAAGTTAGATATCACAAAATAAAGCAATTGTACTACTTAATTTGTCTTTTTATTACAATAATATTAGTAATAATAACAATATTAATGATAACAAAGGGAGGTTATCCGTATTTGGAAAAGTAAATAGTACAAATGAAATTAATATAGGTACTTACTTTAAAAAAAAAACTTCAAATGTATATTCAAATTTTTTGAACGGAAAATTTTTGGCGCTGGGTTAAATCATACATAAATACATTCCTCAAGTAATAGGCTACAAGAACACGTCAATCGAAAATAAAGTATTTAGTGCTGGATTGTTAAAATTATTATATTTGTGTGCTAGAGTAGTACCTAACACAACAAACATTGTTTTTTTAATTAAAAATTAACGGCGCTGGGTACTATCCAAAGACATTACAACATAGAGACAAAATGTTTCATTCATAAATCCCATTCAATTGCGGACTGTTATTGTTTTAAAATTGTTAGTTAGTGGAAGAGAGAAAGACATCTCTTAGGACCGGCTGGCAACTTTGTAAACAGTGTCCATAATATGCTCGCCAGTGGAGTAGAGTTTTAAACTTACCAGTATTGTCAGAGTAGTACGTAAATAAGTAGGTATATTTTTTTAGTAATATAATTATGATGATTTTTTCATGTAGGTAAATTCAAGTACAAGTAAATTCAAATACAAGAGAATTCAAGTTACCTTCCAATTTTTAATATTTATTGGTTTATAGTTTATTGCCATTTACTATACAGGGTGTACCAATAAAAACTCCCAGGATATTTTGGTAAGTAATAGAGATATTTTAATTCTGTAAAAGCCAGTTCATAGAGCGCTAAGAGAGCTTCAGTTTTAGATATAAATTGATTTTAAATAGGTCAATATGTAGATGGCGCTGCGCTCAATATTTTTATTTCGATGGGAGGATCTTTCTTATGTAACGCATCTGGTAAAAAATGCATTTTAAGTAAATTTTGTTCTATGAACTAGTTCGATAAATCTAGTCATTTTTGATATACAGCGTGGGTCACTCAATACAGTTTCATCCTGTTTCGGCATTAATCATTGGATTTTTAGAAAATGCTAAAACAGGTTGATTTTTATTCCAAATTAAACACATTTTTACAATACAGACATCTGTCATGTGTCAATCCCCTCCCTTCCACTTCTACAACCCCTTAATTTTAAATAAGGAATGTACCATGTACGGCACATCATTAAAAAGGTAATTTTATGGGAAAGTCAAAAATATGACAGTTTATTGCGATATTTTTAATTTTAGCGCCCTCTATCAGGATAAAAAATATCTAACGTATTATAAAGTGTGACACTTCATTTGAAAGCTAATTTAATTACTGATTCAATGCACCACATAACATTAATATAAATATTTCCATATTGCACTTGCAACAAAATACAGTTAGCAATAATGTTTAAAATAATGCATGACTAATTTTCAAACTATTGCAAGTGCAATATGGAGGATATTTATATTAATGTTATGTGATACATTGAATTAGTAATTAAATTTGCTTTCAAAAAAGGTGTCACACTTTAAAATACTTAGTTTTTATCCCGATAGAGGGTGGTATAATTAAAAGTAACGCAATGAACAGTCATATTTTTAAATTCCTCATAAAATTACCTTTTTAATGATGTACTACACATTGTAGTATCACACTCTATAATACGTAGTAGTTTTTTATCCCGCTAGAGGGCGATAAAATTTAAGTAACGCAATGTACAGAAATATTTCTGAATCCCCATTAAATTACCTTTTCAATGATGTGTCATACATGGTACATTTAAAATTAAGGTGTGGAGAAGTGCAAGGGAGGGGATTGACACATGTCATGTCTGTATTGTAAAAATGTTTTTAATTTGGAATAAAAATCGACCTGTTTTAACATTTTCTTAAAATCCAATGATTATTGCTGAAAAACATGATGAAACTGTTTTAAGTGACTCACTCTGTATATCAAAAATAGCTAGATATATCAAATTAGTTCATAGAACAAGATCTGTTTAAAAATGCATTTTTTACAAGATGCGCTACACAAGAAAGATCCTCCCATCGAAACAAAATTATTGAGCGCAGCGCCATCTACATATTAACCTATTTAAAATCAATTTATATCTAAAAGTGAAGCTCTCTTAGTGCTCTGTGAACTGGCTTCTACAGAATTAAAATATCTGTATTATTTACTAAAATATCCGGCCTGGGAGTTTTTATTGGTACACCCTGTATATTTGCCTGGTATGATGTTAACCAAAATTATTTAAAATTTTAAATTAACATTAAGTAGGTAGGGGTATCTAAATAAAACACTGTCCTAAAAATATATAATTTTTTAATTAATAATTACATGGTATTACAAAAAATAACGTAAAAAACTGTAAAAATTTTTAAAATAACGTTTTAAATATAATATTAAATACCTTAATTTTATTAACTAAAATTTCATTTAATTTTTTTATGCTTAGTTGATAGTGTTATTACTTACTGCAATGTTTTTTTTGCAGCAGGTGGTGTTCCAAAAACAGTTGAATCATATAGGTAACAAATAATGTTTAAAGGTAAACAAAAAATCAATAGAAAGCCCTCACACCGTCTGAGGTTTGCATCTTTTCTGATATATTTAGCACCATTTGCACGTACCAAAACCTCTTCAGGAAAAAAAATGTTCTGAACACAACTCTGCGTTTTTACGAAGGGGCTCATTTTCAAGGATCCCTACTAGAGAAAACCAAAGTTTTCTTTTCTCAGCATCTTGAGGAAACCTAAATAGAATATTAAAAAATATGTATAGGTGCCTAATAGGTAAATCATTTTTAAGGTATTCTCTATTTTACTTTAAATTTTCTTTGCCACTATTCAATAATTATTTATTGGCATAAAAATAATTTACTAATTTATAAAAGGAATATCACTTTAAAGACTGTTTTAGACTACACAATTACAATATTTTGATACAATTTCTTGTACAATTTAAATTATACAGTAAATTTTCTGAAAAATTAGATTGGATAATCATTTATCAAATAATTTACCATGTGATATTATACAATTTAAATTCTATAAGAAATTGTATCAAATCTTTTACAAGAAATTGTATAGTCAAAACAGTCTTAAGACGG